AACAGCGAAATAAAAAAAATTTACAAAGAAAAAACTGCCAAGTATTGCCCAAAATGTAGTGTGTTTCATCCTTCATTTAATACAAAGAATATGCAGATCATTTTCTCTGTGTTATATATATATATATATATTTGCAAAATCAAGCCTCAGCATCAGGTAGCTGGAAAGAAAGCAGTTGGAGATAAAGAAATAATGTTAAAATGTGGAATTAAAGTTGAAATAAAAGCAAATTGAGGAGATGAAAATTAAGTTTGGCACTTTACAGTTTTGGAAATAATTATGCTGACGTGTTTAGAATGAATGTGCGGATGACAGGGTGGTGCCAACTGATGAAACACTCAAATCTTTGCTGAAAGCTGAAGAACCTGTGGATTGGAATACACTGTTTCAAAAAATTATGGCAAAAATGACGAAAACATATGTGATAACTTTGACTGATGGCAGGCAGCTGATACGCAAAATGGAACTTCCTAAGATAGTATTTAAGGTTATTCAATTAATACATTTTTTCGCAGACGTAAAGATCGTGCATTTCAGTAAAATTGACATATTTGTTTGCAATCATAATCCTTAGTTTATCATAACGTGAGGAGCGAAATCACACGGAAATGGTCGTACGAACTGCTGCCAAGCAACCACTCGTTGGCAAACCTTTTGCTGAATGCCTGTCTGTTTGGTGGGTTAATTAAGAATTGGTTAATTCACGATAACCAAAGTATAAGGATAAATCGATTGAGCTAGTGGTTCTGTGAAGTTCTGTGAACAAAAAGGCATGCTTTATATTGACCGCAGAAACTTCTAGCCACCACCACTTTATTTAGGTGAAAACAGTTCTTAAGGCTAACTGTACAAACATTACTAAAACCACAACTGAAGGGGAATTTGTGAATTCCGAACATGGTAAATTGCTTCATTATGTAAAATCTGTGAAATATTTGTTTATTTTTGATTAACTGCGAACTCATGCTTGATGCCGTGGAATTGCCAGTTCCACGAATAATGCTTTTGGCTTCTGCCAAGTAATTGTATGACGAAGATAATGTAGGGGTCACGTCCCCAAATTTGTGATACGGCTGTATATCGTTTGAGTGACTCATGACGTACTTTTCACTATGTGCTTTTCATTGTATGTTATATAGAGCTGAGAAGAGGTTGTCGACGCAACAACGTTTTTTTCTGTTTGTTCTTTAACCCCCACTTTCTCTACACTTAAAATAAGTTACTATGAAACTTTTGGTTTTATAAGTTTGGTTACTGAAATTTTTTAAAAGCACCTTCCTTTCGTTACAGGTTGAAAATCGCGCTGGTCACAAGAAAGTGACAACGGTGAACAATCTAAGCACATATGGAATAGAGTGCAAAAAATTTTGCCATGAAATACAGACAGGCGTAGCGGCAAGCGCTAGCATTGTGAATGTTGCGCCGAATTGTGAAGGCCCACAAGTTTTGGTACAGGGAAATCAGGTAACTTCTTGTTTTCTGTTAAACCAATTACAATTAAATGGTTGCTTCATTGTCGTGGTGGGACTTTCACGAATAGTAGCGGAACCTAAGTAATGATAAGTTCCACCTATTCTTAGTCTGTCCCGTTAGTAAAGACTTGCATTTTACGGATTCTGTCTGTTTCGAATTGGGAAAGAATTTTTTCTCCCTGTCTGCAAGCGGCAAAAAAACACGCTTAACACAGTCTGATTTCTTGACATGTTAAGTACCCCATTACCAGTAATAAATTATTAAGAAAGATTGGTCTTGAGCGTCATGTGCCAGAGGACATTTTGCGGTGTAGTCTGTGTTTTATCCCTTAGGAGCGAGAATCATCAGTACAGTCTCCTGCCCGCCATGTTCTGAATAGTCTTGTATCCAACTTGCAAGACAGATATACGAATGAAAGAAAAATCAGAGAGAGAGCAAACAGAGTGAGAGAGGAAAGAAGAGGAAGTTAACCCGTGATACGAACAGTCATTTTATGCCAACTATAACGAAACACTTTTTATGTGAATAGCGTGCTGACTAGACGTTTAATTTCTGAATCATCGGGAAATATGAATTTGCTGAGTACTGCTCGGTTCCTGAAGCAGAATCTGTGAACGGGGCGTTCTGTTCTGGCAGTATTAAACTTTTTGTTTACAAATATAAGCCGTCTAGTCCAGTGAATGTACTGTTCAAAAGTTTCCTCTGATAAATTCGAACTGAGAATTTAACCTTATAATTTTGTAGCAAGCCTGGGAACTGATTCTGGACTTCAGTTTTCAATTTCAGATATCATTCATGGCGAATCTCTTGCTGACGAAGTACGGCATTGATAAGAAATATATGAACGGTTTAGAGCTTATACCGAAAAAGCGATGATGCATTGGAAGCCAAATTTTGCATCAATCTCTGCACCCTTTAAAGTGCCTTCTCTGATGACCAGTTGTGATTTTATGTGCGTACAGGTATAAATATGGTTGATTTTATCCATGCGGAAAAAAAAAACACAAGGGGCTGTTTTTATTATGACGCGAACGAGAAAATAACAGCTTTTCCTTGGGTGCCATGGCCTATGAATTAAATACAATTTGTGTCGATGTTCTGCGTTGAGAAAAAGGCTCGCTGTTAATTCATCTACTTGCAAAGCTTTTTTTGGATGAGCGACGATGGGAATTCAAAATATTTTTGGATAAGTAACGATGGAAGCTCAAGATATTTTTGGATAAGTGACGGAAAACGCAAAAGTGGATGATGTAGAAGAGAATGAAAGCAACCATTTTTATGAGTTTTTGCATTTATGCGAGTTTCAAAAACGCATATTGGCAAGAGACTTTGTGTGTGTGTCTGTGTTTTTGTCACCCACTTTCAACTCAAGAACCATAAAAGTTAGAAGGCTGAAACTTTGGGAATATGTGTCCACACTATGCGCGACTCTCCCGTTTTAATTTCATTCCCCGCGGATGCCCGGGTGCCGCATACGGACACTTTAAAAGAAATATGCAAATTTTTTGGCGGGAAAGTGTTCTCGGGGACCAGGCAAGGTAAGGGGCAGAAACTTTGCAGGGATATTCACTGCGCATTTGTGAGCTAAAGATTTCAAATTCAGCCTCTAGGTATGCTGGTACTCACGTGAGGGCGTATGAAAGTTTTGGCGGGGAAGTTATTAACTCAGGGACTAGAGAAGCTTGAAGACTGGAATTTTGGGGAGTTTCCCCCGTCCAAGTGCAACCTAAGTATTTCAAAATCAGCCTTCAGATGTGCATTGTGCGAGCTCGTGAAAAATTTGACAGGGAAATTGCTAACTCCGTAACCAGAAAAGATAGGATGCCGAAATTTCAGGGGAATGCTCCTTGTCCATGTGCAGTTTAAAAATTTCAAATTAAGCTTCCGATGTGCCTGAGGTGCTCAAGTACGGGGATGTGAAAGTTTTGGCGGGAAAATTACTAACTCGGGAGCCAGGGAAGCTAGGAAGCTGATTCTTTAGGGGAG